ATATTTATGAAAATATGGCAATATTATAATAGTAGTTAATATTTATTCAACACCTGCCCAGATGTTCAATGTAGACACAATGTAGCAACCAAGCATTGCCCTAAAAGTTTACATGTATGAGGTAATTCCTATTATTAACCACATTTTGCGGAAAAGTAAACTAAGGCACAGAGAGGTTAAGTAACTTCTTCAAGGTCACACAGCTACCCAAAGTACATATGTTATTATCCATAAAACTCTCCTAAAAGTTTTATTTTTAAAGGTATCTTCCTCATCGCCTGCCTCTAAGAGATGAGTCCAGTGGCAAGGCGGAAGTGGAATTTTACTATTCCCTGATCCATACTGATTCCTAGGATGCCCCCTCCTGGCAGAAATGTTAAATTATGTCCTTAGAGTCACCTGAGCCTACTCCAGGATCCATCCACAGGTCTATGCAGTAGTTGGACCCTCTTTTTTGGAGTTGGTCAAAATATTTACGGCATTGAGTTTACCAGTGGACTCTGGAATCAGACTGCTGGATTAGACTTCTGGTTCCACGATACACTAACCGGTAAGTTAATACTTTTGTGCTGCCATTTCCTCCTCTGTGAAATGGAGATAACAATTGAAAATCTTATAATTATTAATATATGTGAAGCACTTAACTTGTTGTCAGGCACATAGTAAGTGGTTAATGAGTCTTTGTTGCCGTTGTTAGAGGCTTACAATGGGGACTCCTAAAGTCAGATTATTTATAGTCAATTTAACATATATGTAAATTATATATAAATATTAAGTGTCTACATTGTGAAAGGCAGGCACACAGTGATAAATAAAATACAATTCCAAGCCTCCGGAAATTTATTAGTAACTAATGAACTGTTTAAGAGCTCCATCCTTAACAAGGAAGCAAGAATCACTGCCTCTTTATTACAGGCAATAGTTGGTTTATTTGTTTTTATTTTCTTAATGGAGGGGGGAAAAAGCTATGGAATCCCTGCTTTGCTATGCATCATCCATCACCTCTGAGACTTTTTACAACTCAATTAGCCTTTCTAATTGAGTTGCCTCATATGATGAGGACATGATATCCGTCACTAGTAAATGGGACTAGTAATAAATACCTCCTTCATATAATGGTTATGAAGACTAAGGCATAAGAGTAAGCATATATGAAGTGCTCAAACAACATAGTTTATAGAAAAACCACTCAATTTATCGTTGAGTCCTTTAAAAGTATAGACTTCCAAGGAAAAAGATCACCTCTGACTTCCCAGAGTTATCTATTATGACAATTCACTACCAGTCTTAAGTGAGAAATAAGCAGTTTCCATGGAAACAAAAGAGGCAACTTGGAGCCTGAGTGAAAGCAAGCACCTCACCAAATTAGGTGGGGTAAAAAATAAACCTCACACCCTCACGCTTATACCCAGGTCAGCACGTAGGTGGTGTTTTGCAAACCTGGGACCAGAACAGGCTGCCCTTCGGCTCTAGAGAGCTCCCCACACCCAACCAAACACATAGACACACCTCAGCCTCTGGCAGAGGCTCCCAATAAGCAGCTTTCACAAGCTGGAAACCTTTCATGGGTCTGACACAGAGGGTTCTGTACTTATTTCATCTCTGTTCAGGCCAGAGCATTAACACAATTTCTATCAGTACGGTCTGATGACTGCAGGCATGAACATCCGTGAGCTGATTCTGTAATGCTGATCTTAAGATCTTAAGCCATAACAGGCCATGATTATAAGTTCCTAGTCCACAAAGTCAATGGGGAAAGGATCAGTTTACCTGATAATATGAGATTGTTTTCTTCACTAGTAGTCAAAAAGACAAGTGTAAGTCTTGGCTAGCAGGTAGAAAAGGAAATCTATAAACATCCATTGAATAGGTATCCTTGTAATTTATACCATAATACTAAAAAGAGGTCTCCAGGTACGCTCATCAATGGGCACTTAGATTTGGCATTTCTGTTTCACTCAATGCCTAGAACGTTTCTGTCTCTTCAATTTTATTCTCTCTACTATGTATTTTTTTTTGCTGGACCTATACATGCAAGTAACTTTATAATTTGTAAGTTAAAAAAGGAAAGAAAAAACCTCCTATAGATATTTTAAAATTTAAGTTTGGAAGAAATACTATATTAAAATAATCTCCACAGGGAACAGTTTCAAACAGTCATTAAAGTGAGGGTGAATGTTTCAAAACAACATGCCCCTAACAGAGACCGAATTGTAATGGGCAGGAAATATTCTCAACTAAAGACATGTGCATTTCAGCAGAGTTGTACGGTCTGATGAACCATCAGGAAGCAAATGTGTGGAATGACCCTGCTTAAGGTTGTATGATGTCCAAGATGGTGATTAGGACAGGGAGGTAAGGCACTTAAATACAGAGGGTCTCCAACTATGTAAGGTTCTTTGACTTTAGGACGATATGAAAGCCATTCACATTCAGTGGAAACATACCTTGAATTTTGACATTTTCCTGGGCTAATGATATTACTACAATATTCCCTTGTGATGCTGGACAGTGGCAACCAGTCACAGCTCCTAGTCAGCCATACCATCAAGAGGTAAACAACCAACACTCTACGGTATACTGTGTTGCCGGCATTTTTTCAGTATTGCGATCTGTGCTTTTGCACCCCTTAATGTGTATAAAATGCCATCTGTGTCTTCTACTTCTGGTGAGAAGAAGGCAACTACTCTTGAATTGAAACTCAAGACAACTGCCCAACTGTAGGCTAATGTAGGTGTTCTGAACATGTTTGAGGTATGCGAGGCTAAGCTATACTGTTCAGTAGGTTGGGTGTATTAGCTGCATTTTCTACCTATATTTTCAACTTAAGATGGGTTTAATGCTACATAACTCCATCATGAGTCAAGGAACAGCTGTACACAACAGAGCATGAAAGAACATTTGTTCAGGGTTCAAGCATTTTCAGCAACCTCAGGCTTTGATTCTGTTTGTGCATTCATCAACATTGCCATGGAATTAGTCTCCTTGGAAAAGTCACTTATGGAGGAACCGCCAACTTCTACTCACTAAAGCACCGGTATGCCAAATATGCTAAGCCTTCAGATAACATAATTCAAGCAGCAAACACCCAAGGAACTGAACAATGAACTAGGTTTTTCAAATATTTCATAGATTCTTTGAGTACCAGGTAAATAATATAATATATATATATATATATATATACATATAAATCCTTAGCAAAAGTCTAGGCATTGCTAGACACTGATATTGTTACTCATTGAATACAAAATTATCTGTGAAATAATTATCCCCTTTTATCTGATTAATGGATATAGTCACAGTCACCTGATCTATCTCTCTCTCTTCATCAATTCCATTTTATGGAATTTATCCTTGCGGGTTCTTCAGTAGGGTATTTTTATTAATAGCAAAAGCCTAAAAACTTGTGAAATGGCTAAGTAAATAATTTAACTACATGTAGCTATAAAAAATGTGGAAATTCTCTACAGATACAAAAATTACTAATATAGTAGATGAAAAAATGTACACTGTATTCTTTCTTAGGTACATACATAAAACAAACTTGGCAAGGACCCACAAGAAACGAGTGAGGCTGAAGAGGGATAGGAGCCTTCTTGCTATAAACTTCTTTATATTTTTGAATCAAGTTTCCATATTATCAATTCATAATATTTTTGAATCAAGTTTCCATATTCTCAATGCATAATGTTACTTCCTAGAATTCATAATGTTAATTCATAGAATTACTTTTTACTTAAAAATGTGTATAGTACATCCATACATTTGACTATTATTCAGCAATAAAAAGAAATGAGCTAGCAAGCCAGAAAAAGATCTGGAAGGGCATTAAATACATATCACTTAGTGAAAGTAATTACTATGAAAACATTACATACTAAATGACTCCAAATAGATGACATTCTGGAAAAGTAAAACTTTATAAACAGTAAAATAAGCAGTGGTTGCTAAGGGTTTGGGGGCAGGGGAAAGGATGAATAGAACTTTTAGGGCAGTAAAATAATTCTGCATGATACTATAATTAAGCATTTGCCAAAACCCATAAAACTGTACAACACAAAGAGTGAACCCTAATGTAAACTATAGACTTTAGTTAATAATAATGTATCAATATCGGTTCATCAACTGTAACAAACATACCACACAAAGGCCAGATTTTAATAATAGGGGAAACTGCTGAGTAGGGGGAAGAGCTGGTATTTGGGTTCTCTCTTAATTGGGTTCTCTCTGCTCAATTTTCCAGAAACTTGGCGTCTCTAAAAACCGCCTAATATTTTTAATGTGTGTGAATATATATGTGTGTGTATGTGTATGTATCCTTTATTCATCCAGTAAAAGCCTTATTCACTGAAGGTGCTCCACTGAGTACTACAGTGACAGTCTTAGTGGTCCAAACAGCTCTGGAGCTGGCGAATCAGATTCCGATTCTAGCCTCTCCATTTTTCATCTGTGTGGCCGGACTTACACAAGTTACCTCTTCTGCCTCAGTTTCTCAATGTACAAAATAGAAAGGAAAACACATACACACACACACACACACACACACACACACACAGAGGATCTTCTCCCAGGGCTATTGTGAAGATTCCATAATGAATGCATGTAAATGCTTAGCATTGAGCCTGAGGTAAAAGTAACGCTGGAAAATGTTAATTGCTGCTATAACGGTAAAACGATTATTCACGGAATGATTGGTTTGGTACTTCAGATTTCAAGGTTACTCAGCTACCAGCATATCAACACCCCAAAGGGCTCCAAATTCTCAATTGCAAACTACCCCACTTTGAACATAACGCACACTGCACTCTTCAGCTCTCCTTGCTCCCCTGATGCTCATTTCCTCCTCGCTCGACCTTGCACACGCAGGCCCTGGAACGCCCCCGTCCCTCCCTGGCCCACGCCGACCCGTTCCACTCAGACCTCATTCCCGCTTCCTCCCCAGAACCCGGCCTAATTCGTCTGCACTTCTTCCCGTCCCCCAAGCTGAAGGACGCTCCTACCCAGATACTCGTAGTCCGGGAGGGCTAGACGCTCCGGACTCAGCATCCTTTGACCGGGGTCGCTTCCAAGCTGTAGCTCTTCTGCTTCCGGAAGCCAGGTCGCGGGCACACTCCGTTGCCATGGCACCCACGCAGCGGGAGGAGCGGTAGGAGCGAGGGGGTGTCCCGCAAACAGTCTCCGTCTCGCAACGCCAAGCTGGCCACACCAGTTCCGGGAGCAGGCACTTCGCAGAGGTGGACGTTTCTTTGGCCTTTCCTTCTCGAGGATTTGGTCCTAGAGAAATTTGAGATGGAGGGTTCTTTTGAATCTATCGTATTTCCTGGTGTCGAAGAATTATTACGAGCTCTCCATACCGCAATTCCTGAATTTCATAAATAATACTACTTTATCCAGCTGTCACCCCTAAATTCCCATAAACATTTCGTATCCATTACCTATTTTAATCCCTATTATTTACTATCTTAAGTTACGACACAGTGTTTTCATGTAGGTATATCTTGACTGCTCTTTGAGATGAGTGATGTCTCTTTTCTGTCTCTGACAAGGCCGGACAACAGAAGATGCTCATATTCTCTGAGTTCATTGCTATTTCTTCTCAAATTCCTCTTTACCTTTAGTCCCCACTTCTACTCTTATCCCTTACTATTTGGAACCCTTTCCAGTGTCTTTTTTTTTTTTTTTTTTTTCTAGACACTTCACTTGCTGAGGGGATGCTGCACAATAGACAACCCCTACTGGATTCCCACCACCACCCCCAACTCACATGCCTAACTGCTCATTTCTTCTTTAAGAGGAGAGCATTCACTGGGTTTCAAGTTCTCAGATATCCAAATATTTCTCTTTTTTTGTGCCACTCCACTCCCAACAACAGGTTAGAGATCTGTAATACTTGCCATAGTTCAAACCTAGTAGAAAAAGCCACTCTGCCTCACCGTTTATTTTTAATTATCCCCCTCCCCCAACAAGGTAAGATTTTCATGGAAAGAAAGGAGCAACAGAGGCAGGAAAGAGAAAGGAATGAAGGAAGGAATCAAGGGAGGGAAGGAGGGAAGAAGGAAGGAAGGCAGGCATGTATCAAAGGAATGAGTGGGAAGCCACCATTGGGAGGAAAAGGAAAGAAATAATTCTACTCCCTGTGTTCTGAGGGGGTCTATTCTTAGTCTCCTCCAGCAGGAGCTTCAAACCTCCCTTTAATTCTCCCTTTCCCTTAAAATTGTGTGTCTCATTTTTAGGTGAGTCAATGGGATGTGGGATGTGGTGAGGATAAAGGAACAGAGACAAACTAGGAGCAGCATTTATTATCCTGAGGTGATGAATTTTGGTACTTGCTGTGAAGTTCTGCAAATCTGATAAAAATATTTACCTTTTTCTTCTTGTACCCTTGCTTCCTGCCACCCTGCCCCAATGCAGCTTGAGGGGATGGAAGTTTCATAATTCTCACACCTGTGGTGTATTACTATATTATTAATAAAATAATAGGATAGCAATTATTTTTTTTTTTTTTATAGAGGCATGCTTTATTTATTTGTTTGCTGGTTTGTTTGTTTGTTTGTTTTGTTTATACATGCACTGGGTACAGTCAGAAGCGCGGGAGGGCGAGAGAATTCACCAGAGCCAGAGCGGGGAGCAGAGCAGGCAGAAGGACCAAAGTACACTGCTGAGGGGAGCAGCGGGCGGCAGGAGAGGTCTGCGCGCCATGTGGGACCCTCCTCTGGTGGCCGGGGAGCAGCCGGGGATCGAACCGGCGCCGCAGAGGCCGCGCGCAGCTTCGCAACCCAGCGCTCAACCGCTGCGCCACCGGGGAGGCCCTAGGATAGCAATTATTAAAGATTATAATTTCATTCTATTTCCAGGAAACCTGAAACTATTTGAAGATCATTTCATTTGTCCTCATAAGAACTTTCTAAGGTGCTTCTCCCTTTTCTAAGCAGGGAAACTGAGGAACATGTCAGGAAAATGACTTGTCTAGCATCACCCAGTCAGGCAGCGGGAGAGCTGGAATTGGAGCTCTGCTATCCCAAACTCCAAGCTAGTGGTCTGACCACTAAACCACACAGTCTCTTTTTATAGGATTTGTTGACTTGGCTTTTATTTATTTATTTTTCCCTTTGCTGTGCCCTGCCAGCCACTGGAAGCTCATAGATAAAAGAAGAGAATTTTGAGTGGAGCATTATCCTTGGAGGGTGCTGCTGCTGGGGTCAGTGTGGTGGAGTTGGGAACCAGTCCCAAGAATATAGCTTTGTTTTAGCATTAACCCATTTGTGGTTATAATAATGATAAGTTTGAGCACCAGTGGCGCCCGACTGTTAATGACTCAAAGAAAACTAAATAAGAACAAGATGTCATCTCTGGAGCAATTTGTAGGTTTTTCCTACAGTTCCATCCCTTTCACAAAAATCCTAAAGACCCTTATATTTAAAGTCAGTCTTCCATTCGTAGTCTCCTGAACAGTATTGAAAAGGGAGACTTAGAAAACGGTTGGAGGCTAAGGTTTCAAGAAAATTTGGGGTTATAAAGAAATAACAGGTAGCCTTGGTGGTGGTAGAATTACTGACCGTTTATGGGTTTTTTTCTTTATGCTTTTCTATATTCTCAACTTTTTTCTATAATAGGTATTATTACTACAACCTGAAACAAACACAATAGATGGCTTTAAAATCTTTAAAGTATTTTTTAAGGATAAGTGATGACCTTCTGGGTAGTGTTTGTTTTTCCCAAGAAGGAACAACTACTTTTAGATTTCTCTTCTGGCATAGGTTGCATGATAATAGATTTTGGCAACACATCAGTGGCAGAGGAAATTTTTCAGCGAGACACACACAACAGGCATCTTAAGAAGAGTGGAAATACCCAAGAGTTGTTAAAGTCAAGTGTATGTCTGTGACCCTGTTGAGCGTTAAGGGAAAAAAAAAGTCAATCTTCAATTCAGATGTGTTTTTCAGAGTCTGAAATTATAACACTTCTGAATTCTTGCGTGAACAAACAAAATCATCTGGGTAAGCAAGTGGTGTGAAATGGGTCAAACTGTAGAAAGAGCATGAGATTTTAAAGTCAAAACTACAGCATGGAAATGGAAACATCAAACCCAAAATGATAGGAAAAGCACCCTCAAGAGAGACGATATGTCGAGACATCAAATTATCTGACTGTAATTCCTAATTATATAGAGAAAATTAATACACCTCTCTGGCTCTGCAGAGAACCTATGAAGAGATTGGTAGGGGGAAAAATCCTCCCGGGGATTAAAAACTACAGAGAGGGCCTCCCCCCGTGATGCAGCGGTTGAGTGCTGGTTTGCAAAGCTGCCCGCAGCCTCTGCAGCTCCGGTTCGATCCCCGGCCACCGGCAAGGGTCCCACATGGAGCGCAGACCTCTCCAGCCGCCCACTGCTCCCCCTCAGCAGTGTACTTTCGTCGGTCTGCCTGCTCTGCTCTCCCCTCTAGCTCTGGTGAATTCTCTCACCCTCCTGTGCCTCATCCTGTACCCAGTGCTTATATAAATAAATAAATAAATAAATAAATAAATAAATAAATAAATAAATAAATAAATAAATAAATCTTTTTTAAAAATAAAAATAAAAAAATAAAAACTACAGAGAAGCAAACTTGAATGTACTGGTAGTTTTAAACCTCAAAGAAACAATAAGAAGAGAAAGAAATGCAGACTGGATTATTGCTACAAAACAGGTTCAAGAAACTAGGACAAGCTTTTATCAACTCATCAAGCAGAAAAGATGCTAAAGGCAAAGTAACTACTAAGAAATGCAGGTCATGAAATTCATGCTGAGCTGCTAGGCTCTTCTTAAAAGACTTATCTTCCATAAGAAAAAAAAAACAAAACAGAAACTAAGTATGATGCCACTGCGTGGGATTAGTATGTTTAAATTTACAATGCTATTTGCAGAAAAGTCATTTTGGACTACCTCAGGTCAACAGAACAAAACTGGAAGATTTTGCAAAGAAAAAGAAATATTCACAAATTTGTGAACAGTTAAGTATAACTGATGCATTATATGAAAGTGGTTGGGAGGACATAGCTTAACTTGAACTGAAGCTCCAAGGTAATTACAGGCTTGCACTTTCTTGTTATTTTATATTTTCAAATGCTACAAATAGAATTGGGAATTACACTTTCATATAGTTTTATTTTATTTTTTTTTTTTATAGAGGCATGTTTTCTTTCTTTCTTTCTTTCTTTCTTTGTTTGTTTATACATGCACTGGGTACAGTCAGAAGCGCGGGAGGGTGAGAGAATTCACCAGAGCCAGAGCGGGGAGCAGAGCAGGCAGAAGGACCGAAGTACACTGCTGAGGGGAGCAGTGGGCGGCAGGAGAGGTCTGCGCGCCATGCGGGACCCTCCTCCGGTGGCCGGGGAGCAGCCGGGGATCGAACTGGCGCCGCAGAGGCCGCGGGCAGCTTCGCAACCCAGCGCTCAACCGCTGCGCCACCGGGGAGGCCCAACTTTCATATAGTTTTAAAGGAAAGATTTTCTGACTCTTCTTGGTAGTCCCCCAAAATTAGCTATGCCTTCTTCTCTCCTAAAGAATGCACCTTGATAAGTATATATTTCATAAAAAAAAAATTCATTGAACTCTCCTACTATATTGTGAGTTCCTTGAGGACAGAGACAATCTTCAGTCTCTGAAGACTGACCAGACCATGCTCAGTGCCTGATAGCATAGATAGATTTTTCCCTTTCTGGAAAATATGGGTCATCCCATCCACAGGTCTGATGGTTGTTTCATAGTAACCAATTCATGAAACAAACTGATTAACCAAAAGACCAGCAACATGCTGATTGATTAAAAATCAATCAGAAAGCATTGATGTATCATTCCTACACCTAAATACTTTGTATTTTAAATCACCATATCATCAGAAACACCACTAAAAAAAAAGCCAACAACTAACTCAACAAAAGGCACAGAAACAGTGCAGCATGTAGACAAGCTAAGAGAATTAGTTCAGGAGGATGAGAGGAAATACACCGGAATTATTAAATAAACTTAGGATATGAACTTGGAAATTCCCACATTTCAGAATCTTAGAACCAAAAGCCCAGTCTCTGTGTCTATTTTTTCTTTCCCCACGCCATCCTCCACATTATTATAAGACTTTATTGTTCTCAAAG